TGTGTGTGAGAGTGTGTGTGTGTGTGTGTGTCGCTTCAAAACACCTCAATTAACTGGATTTAACACATAAACAAAGCAAATGTTTTAATTAATGCTGTTTTCTTAAACTCACAATACCTTAGCAACCGCATATCAACGCCCTGGTAACCATCCACAACTCCCTAGCAACACGACAGCATGTTTTGCACAAAAGAAAGGAGATTTAAAAAATATATAATATAATATAATAATAAAATGTGGTTATTAATTGTTGTTGGTTTTGCTGTAATCATCCTGAAAACTCTCAAAACATCTCTCGTATGGAAATATGCCATTTGTTAAATTAAAGACAGATGAACTTACAAAAAACACTGACTGACTCATAAACACAAGAGATTATATATAAACACTCAGTTATAGTTGCATGTTATTGTAGATCTCAGTATTTCACTGATCAAGTTTAATTTGTGCAAGAGCCTGAAACTCTCTCATTATATATTATAAATATTTAATTATACATTTGTAAATCTCTCTATATATTTATATATAATAAAAATATAAATATGATTTTAATATGATACATATATATTTAAAAAATAATATTAATAAATAAATCAGATATATGGATGCATAAAAAACTAAAATAAAAATATAAAAATATATTATTTTAATGTGATAATTTGATTCAGATCGGGACTTCAAAGCGTGTATCGCGAATCATTTGGTTCAGATCGGAACTTCAAAGCGTGTATCGTGAATCATTTGATTCAGAACGGGACTTCAAAGCGTGCGTGTATCGTGAATCATTTGATTCAGATCGGGACTTCAAAGCGTGCGTGTATCGTGAATCATTTGATTCAGATCGGGACTTCAAAGCGTGTATAGCGAATCATTGAAAATGGACGACTGGTTTTCGGAGATCAAAAGATTGCTTTAGGTTTATCTAGGAGGTTCTTCAAAGCGTGTATCGCGAATCATTTGATTTAGATCGGGACATCAGAGCGGGTTCGCGGGATGTTTTTATCCACACCGGGGATAAAAGTAATTCATCAGAGGCAGGGATGCATAGATGAATTACTATGCATAATTCATAATTGCCCCCCCCCAGCAAATCGCACCCTGTATATATGTATATAATGTTATTCTAGATGTCAGTATCTAGTGTGAGCTGTTGACAGATGTGTGTTTGAGGGTCGGTCTGACAGCACTGTGTTCATTCTTTCATATGCTGATGTTCATCGTGACCTGTGTGTGACCTCTGACACACAGCCCTGAGGCCGTGTGACACTCACATTCCTTCATCATGCCAATGTCGACGCAGCGCTTCAGACGGCAGGCCTGGCAGTGACGCCGGTTGTCTTTGGTGATGGAGCAGCTCCCACTGAAGGGGCAGGTGAAGCTGGCCTTGCGCTTCATACTGCGTCTGATGAACACACAGACAACAAGAGATTACAATATAAACTAATAGTTTCTACTTTAATATCCTTTAAAATATAATTTATTTCTGTGATGCAAAGCTGAATTTCCATCATCGTTACTCCAGTATAAAGTGTCACATGATCTTCAGAAATCATTCTAATATGCTGATTTATTATTAGAATTATCAACAGTTGTGCTGCCAAATATTTTTTTTGGGAAACTGCGATACTTTTTTCAGGATTCTTTGATGAATAAAAAGTTTAAAAGAACAGCATTTATTCAAAATATAAATCTTTTCTTACAATATAAATCTTTGCTATCACTACTTAACAATTTAACACATCCTTGCTGAATGAAAGTTTTAATTTCTTAAAAAAAAAAGAAAGAATAAAAATGTACTTTGAACGGTAGTGTATATTGTTAGAAAATATTTATATTTTAAATAAACGCTCTTCTTTTTAACTTTTTATTCATTAAAGAATCCTGAAAAAAGTATCAGTTTCCAAAAACAAATATTAAGCAGCAACAGTTTCCAGCACTGATAATAAATCAGCATATTAGAATGATTTCTGAAGATCATGTGACTCTGAAGACTGGAGTAATGATGTTGAAAATTCAGCTTTGATCACAGAAATAAATTACATTTTAATGTATATTAGCCCTTAAAGACCTAGAACATTTTTGGGGCACCTGACACGCCTGCAATTTTCTTTGTTTTTTTAAGAACTATTCTATATTAGGTTCAGATAGGATTAGCGGTTGAAAAGTTATTAAACATTTAAGAACAATAGTTATTTTTAGCCGCGGGCAGCCGTCTCGGTCTTTGAGGGTAAAAATAGAAAAACGCTATCTTACATCATAATAATATTTCACAATATTACATTTTTTCCTGTATTTTTATCAAATAAATGCAGCCTTGATGAGCATAAGAAACTCCTGTAAAAACATTAAAAATCATGACTGTGTGTGTGTGTGTGTGTGTGTGTGTGTGTGAGTGTGTGTGTG